CCTCCCAAAGTGCTGGGATTACAGGCATGAGCCACTGTGCCTGGCCCAAGAGCCACGTTCCTCTTAGGTGAAGCTACAGCCATGGTTAATCATCCTTTGTAATAAATATATAAGCCTCATAACTTCTGACTGGACACATACACATACAAAAAAAGACTCTTAGTGGCTGTCTTAGTCTGGTATTTGCCCTTCTGTCTTGCACCTAGCCCTGAATTCATTTTCCCAAAACCCTTCAGATTTCCACAGGATAAGGGCCAAACTCCTATTAGTCAAAGCCCTCTATTATCTAGCCCCTACTACCTAGCTCCAGACTTTTCCTGGGATGCACAACAGTTTTGTACTCTGGCTAAGAAGAACGTCCTCTCTGCATACCACCATTCATTCTTTGAACCTTGTTTCAACCCTACCTCCTCCAATGAAGCTTTCCCTGATCAGAACCGCCCTCTCCTCAGTCTACTACCTGTACCAGTCACACAACACTTGCCAACTTTTACCTTGCCTGCTTATTATCTCTTGCTAGACTGAGTCCTTTCTCACTAGATTCAGTTGACTATTTATTTATGTTAAACTCTAAATTGGGTACCAGGGTTGTAAGACAGAAAGGCTAGGGCCATTTATAGAACTTGTCAGGCTTTAAAAACTCAAATATCATTCCTCCATAAATAAAGAACACAGAAGACAGCAGTAATATTTGCTGAACGATTAACACTCAAAGCCAAATAAACATGTCTTTTCCTTACGTTTAACTAACAAGAAGGCATGTTGTGTAGCAAGGCAGGTTAATAGTCTTCATCAACTAATCAAAGCTCTGATGAGACAAGAAATACATAGGTACTTTCACTCCTAGAAATGGAGCATTAGAAAATCTGGATCCACCTGGGGCACATGACCTCTTGAAGGCTGTGCCATGGGCGATGGTCACCCTAAATTTAAAAAAAGAAAATATGGGAGATCATACCTGTAATCTCAGCTCTTTGGGAGGCCAAGGGTGGGGGGATCGCTTGAGCTGCAGTGAGCTATGACTGCACCACTGCACTCCAACACGGGCAACAGAGCGAGACCATCTCTAAAAAATAAATTGAAAAACCTACTGACAAAGCCAACTAAAAAGCAATGAAAATGGCTGGGCGCAGTGGCTCACACCTGTAATCCCAGCACTTTGGGGAGCCAAGGCAGGTGGATCACCTGAGGTCATGAGTTCGAGACCAGCCTGGCCAACATGGTGAAACCCCGTCTCTACTAAAAAATACAAAAATTAGCCAGGTATGGTGGCAGATGCCTGTAATCCCAGCTATTTGGGGAGGCTGAGGCAGGAGAATCACTTGAACTGGGGAGGCGGAGTTTGCAATGAGCAGAGATCATGCCACTGCACTCCAGCCTGGGCGACATCAGCAAAACTCCACCTCAAAAAATAAGCAGTTAAAAAAAAATTATATGTATATAGTTTTTTGAGACAGAGTCTTGCTCTGGCACCCAAGCTGGACTGCTATGGCACAATCATGGCTCACAGCAGCTTAAACCTCCCAGGCTCGTGATTCTTCCATCTCAGCCTCCAAAGAAGCTGAGACCACAGGTGTGTGCCACCATACCTGGCTAATTTTTTTAGTTTATTTTTTGCAGAGACAGGTTCTCCTTAAGTTGCCTCGGCTGGTCTCAAATGATCCTCCCACCTCAGCCTCCCAAAGTGCTGGGATTACAGGCATGAGCCACCACGCCCAGCCCGTCATTCTCTTAAAAGCATCAAAAAGCTAACCAGGTAATAAGGAATAACTGAACCAAAGTCTAAGCGAGGAGAAAACAGAGCTAGGCCTAGCAGTCAGAGCTGCTTTTTCCTTTAAGGCATTTGCCAATCTGTAAGTTCTTGGACGCCTGAGCTGCGCTTTTAGAAGTCTTTCAGCAGCCTTGAGGACTGCACAGAAGTCAAAACCTAAGGCTAGATAATGGTGGGAATTCTCACCACAGACACCTTAATTTGGGATCCCAAAGAATTACACCTTTAAGATAAAGGTGAATAGAAAGTAAACCATTTCTTGGCCAGGCGTGGTGGCTTACACCTATAATCTTAGTATTTTGGAAGGCCAAGGTGGGCACGTGATCTGATGCCAGGAGTTCAAGACCAGCCTGGCCAACATGGTGAAACCCTATCTCTACTAAAAACACAAAATTAGCTGTGCTTGGTGGTATGTGCCTGTACTCCTAGCTATTCAGGAGGCCGAGGCAGGGGAATCCCTTGAACCCGGGAGGCAGAGATTGTAGTGAACCGAGATTGTGCCACTGTACTCCAGCCTGGGTGACAGAGCGAGACTCTGTCTCAAAAAACACCACCACCACAAACAAACAAAAAAAGTAAACCAGTTCTCAAGTGGATTTGCCACCAGGTTATATTTCATCTGGATGACTTGAGGTACTTTCAGTCTTCTGAAACCTGCATCAGATGATTTGGTAGTATTCCCAGCCATAGGAAACATAAATCCTTCTTAGAGGTAGATACCCTCACTCTTGTCCTGTTTACTCCTGCAAATAATTTTTTTTTTTTTTGAGACAGAGTTTTGCTCTTGTTGCCCAGGCTGGAGTGCAATGGCGTGATCTCGGCTCACTGCAACCTCTGCCTCCCAGGTTCAAGCGATTCTCCTGCCTCAGTCTCCCAAGTAACTGGGATTACAGCCATGCACCATCATGCCCGGCTAGTTTTGTATTTTTAGTAGAGACGGGGTTTCTCCATGTCGGTCAGGCTGGTCTCGAACTCCTGACCTCGGGTGATCTGCCCACCTTGACCTCCCAAAGTGCTGGGATTACAGGCATGAGCCACTGTGCCTGGCCCAAGAGCCACGTTCCTCTTAGGTGAAGCTACAGCCATGGTTAATCATCC